TTCTCACGGTATGTGGGAGGTTGTATAGGTTTCAGAAGGTGGAGGATGTTCAGAGGACATATCTATGGGCTACAACAGCTTGTAAAAAGTAAAGATCAAGTAAGAAATAATAGAATGTGGGTCAAAAACGTATTTGTTGCGCACCCACTGTAGCCTGAGCCGGATTCCTCTCAATTACCCACCTATCAACCTCTCCAGAAGTATGGAACCTTTTCCATTTTTATATCGCCTTACTAGCCTCCCATTTCCTTATAAATTTAAAATTTTAGCTGAAAAAAGATTTCTAAAGTTCACTCTTCACGAAGAGTTTCGATCGAGTAGGGATGACTGCATTGGAATTGTAGCCGAGTAAGCTAACGATGAGTAAAAAACTCGAAAAACCAAAATATCCATCACGAAGGTTAGAGGGGGGCAAAAAGGAGGAAATGACGCAGCACCCACTTGCCTCTTCCTGCTGCGTACATCACGTAGCATTCGTTCGTTCGTGCTGTTCGTTGTTCATCCACTTGAAAGCAGCGGGCCATTGGCGTGTTCAAGAGCTGCTTCATGTCTGTCTGGGTGTGTGTGTATGTGTTCATTCGGATGCGCATGCTTGTTATTAATAATAGCGCGACATTAGCCTAAGTCCTTCTGTCGATGTGATTTATGCTAATTTCATTCGTTTTTAATGCATCGTTTACACGGCAGCTAATTGATAATTGAGGGATGGAGAGAGGAGAAGTGGAATGAACAAGTGATGGTGACGGGTGGCAATGGGTCGCTCCATTCGCGCCTCGCTCTTGTCTGTCGGCTCTTCTTCACATTCATTACCATTTGGCTAACCAATCTCATCAAGCCAAGGGACTTTGGCACTAGTCGACACCTTCCAGACTAAAATCCACGACTCCATACATTACCCTTTGTACGGAGACGTCCGTGGTCCTGCTGTGAGGAGCTACAGAACGTTTTAACAATCAAGGGTCTCAGAACGCCTGCCCAGAGTCTCAGACCGCCTATTTGAACTTGAGAACAGTTTTTAGAAGTTTAGACAACTCTTTCAGGAACCAAATGAAGCGGTTCCATTGATAGAACAAGATCGGCAGCGTTCAAGTGACGTGAAAGTTTCTCAGTGCTGTTCAGAACTCAGCGAATTCCAAAAAGAGGATTGTCCATCGACTAGGTATACCAAGGCCATTCAATGGTCGGTGCAATCACGCCGATTCCGAAGCGAACCTCAGAAATCAGTCTACTCAAAATTATCTCAAAGAAAAACCCAGCGAAATACCTCCATCTGGAGCCATCTGGTCTGGAACTGGACCCACAGCTCTATCCGCTATGTCCACCGGTCAACCAGATATTCCACGGAAGAACTCGAGACACCGATGGAAACCTTTCTCTCCCGTTGAAAAGCTTTATTTTGTAAGCTCTCCCAAGAATTCTGGTTTACTCCTGGGATCTCGAGTAGATACTGCTGGTAACTCGGACTCTCGGTACCACCTGGGGCTACAGGCCCATAATGTAAGACTGCCATACCAAGCTCTAACTGTAGTCGACCGAAGCCTTCTTCCTGGTCCAAAGCTTTGCAAACAGGTCCCATCTTCTCCTTTGACCCCGTAGAAGTGTCGGCGGCGCATTCCATCTCAAGATCGTATTTCCTGAGGAGATCCTCGGACTGAGCCAATAAACTTTTCGCGCATTTCGACGACCATCCCATTACCGATTGTCTTCTATTCAATCGTCGACTGTGCGTCAAGTGCACTGTAGTTATCGGACGTATCAAACGGTTACCTTGGTACGAGTGTCGAGTGCTCCCCTCACTCTTCTTCTCGTTCACGTCGTGTCTTTTTGTTGCCGACGGATCACTTGACTTGCCGCGTAATCATTATGGTCGAGTTCTTCGCGTGAGGATGAGGAATCGCGCAACCACCACCACCCCATCAGAGCAACAAAATCTCAAGAGGGGGATCCCCTAAGATTCTTATGAGGTCACGTAACCATCGAGAATCACCTGATAACATCGCTTACAACCACAAATCTGCTATTATCTCCCAGCTAAAGCATCATACACTGCTAATACCACTGTCTGCTAAGCACCTGTTACGGTAGTGACGTAATGAGTTATTCAAAGTACATTACAATTAGATGTATGTATTGTACCGATGTGTGGCCCATCTACTCCTTCCTCCCCGTGCAACAGAGTCGATTATCACTGCCCTGAGCGACTAAATCAACGTTAGACCATCATCATCACCGCCGATTGTCTCAGTCAGTCGGTTGATGTGCCGCATTTGCGGCGCCCGAGTGACTACAGTTTCCCGTAATTGGGTGCGAGTCCATTATACAAAGCGTCCTTGACAATCACACGCCCTCACCTTACTAACGGCGACAGATTACCGATGACAAAAGGAACACACCAACACATCATCATACATGGTCGGGGATCCCACACACAACCAATAAATTCCACATAAATCGGAACGGATAATTGCTGCCGGTAAACTAAACAGTAGGATACCAGTCAAAGCGATCAAGTTGTCACCTTCAGAGGAGTTTGAATTTTGTTTATATGTTTACTTATCACTTCTCTTATTCCTGGGGAAAGCTGGTTCCTCAAAGAGTGATTCCAGCAAGCAGCTTTATTTGTATTGATCAACATAAAAAAGTAAAAAAGGGAGAAAATAGAAGTGGAAGAAGAGAAAGTCGACAAAAACTGCTCGCAAGCAGCATTCAGAGAAGTTATATGCCCATTGGGTGGACTGCGACTTCAGAAAAATATGTAAAAGACTTGGTTCCTTTCTCCCCATTCCCTCTAGTGCAGGGAATCTATAAGGCGGATCAAATGCCTCGAATTCAGCCAGTGATTTGAATTTTGTTTCAGGGACATAAGGGGCTCATTAGCGTACGTTGCCAGAGGGTTTCCAGGAAACAAATTCGTAGTAATCTATTGCTTTTTCAGGAGCCTAGCGGCTGACGGACTTTGGTGCTCCTATGATTTCCATAGAGGAGCACGCTAGCTGAGAAAAAAATGTAGGTTTCTTTGCAGCGTAAAAGGTAATAGCTTAGCTCACCCCTCACCCCTACTATTCCCCTCTTGGCCTTCGAAGTAGGTGCTTGAAGGCTCAATCTTCAGAAGTATTTGATTCTGTTGGACGAATCAGTTGAGCAGGATGGAAGGAATGATCTGAGGAATCCCGTCCTGTCCAGCGCACCCTTACATCTATACTAATTTTATAATACCTGTATGAAAAAGTTACGCAAAACTTGAGAAATACTCAGTCGCCACGTCCTTCCTACCCAATCAGATCCTCCCATTAGGCCTTCTAGACCTCGGATGTTGTCGTATACGAAGTTTCGGTCTTTCAGCCCTCGGAACACTAATATATGCAGTGCCATTGCGGTCACAGCCGGCCGGCGAGACGTTTAGTCCCAATCCGGGGTGTACGGTAGTTGGAGGAGCAGATAGGGGCGAAATTGAATTGATACCGTAATCAATCGCGGCGCTTCTCATGCAAAGAGGCTTCTTCCGTGCCATTCAAATGCCGAGCGAATTTATGATGCGCGATTATTCTAATGTGCTGAGAGCGGATGTGAAGTGGCCAGCTACTTGAACGCCGTGGGGCATGAAACCGAATAAGTCCGACATCGACATCGTCTCTATCTTTTGCTGTCTATAGCCGTCGTTCTACGATTCAGCAGAGCTTTTCATTCTATTGGCCCGAAAAGGAGCCCCATCGCGGATTATTTTCGAATTCGGGAAGTTAAGAGCAGAGAAAACCAGTTGAGGGAACTCACCTTCTCCCACATATGATGCGTTTCCTTCCACACTCTGAAATTGCCCGAAAGCCATTTTTGAGCCAACTGGAAGGCCTGAAATTAGGTAGAGTATAAACGGAATGTACTAAACGAAATGTTTACTGCACAAGTGACTCTGTCGAGAAAATAATCAACTCGTACGAGTTTGAGGGTTGAAATGATGATTTGGATTTACATAAATTACCATAGTTTATATAAATAAAGTAAGTGGTTGTTTCGAGTGATCGGCCAACCAGATTTTCGGTTGTAATTGATTGTGTTAGTGGTAATTCGCCGTAATCAAAACATTTACTGTTCTCTAACAGATGTTTCTGTGGTAGAGATCGCACAACAATTCGGTCTCCTTTCGACAGAACGAAACGGCCGGTGCTACCCAATCCCGAAATGCATGGCAACTATGACATCCATATTTGGGATACAAGACTTAAGTAGGGGACGGAACGTCAGGAAATACATAACTAAGGCAGATTGTCTGAAGACGATTTAACTACTCCTTCGAGCTCACCCGGTGTGTAAGCCTAGAGGGAGGAGAGGCTAATTTCAATGAATAGGCCACCCTTGTCTGAACCAAAATGAGTTTTTAGCAGAATGATCATGAGGAAAAGGTTTTTTATATGGATGGTATTTAGCCGCTTCGCGACCGCTCACTCAATCCTCATATTAACCGTCTACTAGCCTGTAACCTCAGGTATGTTACCGAAAACAGTACCTCACTTTGAGCTGTTGAGTCAAAACTGAAAGTCATTTCAAATGGGTTGACACATATTCCAGTCCTATGAGATCTGTCTTCAATTTTTCAAGAGTTTCCTGAGAAGGTGTGATTCCGAAAGGAACGTGAAGCTTTGGTGATTGAGGGTTGTGCAAAATTGTGAAGTATGAATACTTTATTTATCACAAAGAGGCTTTCTGACTAGCGCGGGCGATATGGAGACTCACAACATTTCCCGCTGTGAGGGCATGAACTCAAAGAAATAAGGTGGGTCTCACCAAAAAAGGAAAACGACGCCATTCTTCATAGACAGGGCGATCGAGGATTCTTGTCAGCCGAGGTCGAAAATTGTAACTCATGGGACTCTTACTTTAGGGATACTTCAGAAAAAACTATTTTCGATGTTGACTTCGACCTACACTGGTTTCTGAGAAAAAAGATCAGTGGGAAATCGAAGTTGCTTGCCTGGCCTACTTGAGAATTGATAAAGTGCGACATCCTACTTTGCAATCCAATAACAAAGGAGACAATCGTCTGTGAAGTATAATTTGTAGACCCCGAAAGATAAAATGAATTCAGTTGGGGCCAGAGACGGCCAGTTTTCCAAAGGGATCTTCTGTTCCATGGCGTTTTGCAACGTGAGAGCTTGTAGCGCCCTGTCATGTACTTCACCTAGTCTTACATGAAAAAGGATACGTACCGCATCTTGCATCTGAGCATTTTGACTCTTCCGTAATCCTTCGACGATCATATGATTCAATGGACTGAATCCATTTGGGAAATCCCACTGTTCGTCACTATCGTGCATCATTGATGTAGGAACACCGCCTGGATATTCCAGTACACCCAAGCTCTAGAAAGAGAGGATTACAGTACTATTTGGAATTCGAAGTTTGGAACTCAGGCGATTTCCTGGAAACACGTCGATCGTAGATAAGCACGGAAACACACTTTCATCAAAGAGAACAGCCGTTCCGATTTTCCCTGGTTCAATGTATTATAGCATCCTGTGAAAAGGGGTACCGTAATTGAAGGATAGAATTCTGCATTGTGTGCTCCTGTTCGGAGATTATAGTCGAACCTGAAACAAGTTGTTTCAATAAACTCAAAGCCGACACTGACAGGGACATTAGGTACTACTAGACAACTCGTAGAAGCTGAACGAAGAGGAATAAAACGCAAGTCTATGAGGTAGAGCCATATACGACACTGGAACCGGTATTCGAGTTACCACCACTAGTATGATCCTAGGTAGGGCTGTGTCAAGTGGTATCTGTATCCCTTATGACTAAAAATTAAGGCTGGGTTGAAACTAGTCCTTTTCAATCTAGAGTTCCTCCCACTCAAGGTTGGTTGCTTGGCCCAGTACATGAGAAAAAAGGACTTCATCGGATGACCCTCGCAGGCCATTGTATTGGCTAAATCGCCTTTTAACGACACTATGATTCTGCAAAGAAGCCAGTTGCGTGGCTCATTCCAGGTTGTGACTAATCAGTGCTAATGAATTCATTCGTTCATCCTTACTGTTCGGATCGAGAGTCTTAGTAGAGAAAAGCTAGAAATAATCTTTTGGCCTCTCCTTCGTGATTACCACTCACAGAGACCCTGACAAGCCTTATCAAAAGATGTAACTCACCAAGTGCCTGCTGTGTGGTTATAGAAAACCTTGTGCACTGTATTACGGAACTTCGCTCGGACTTCTCGATAGAACTCGGATTTCACTTGGTTACCTGTAACAATTACTCCATCATATGCGCCTTAACACCCTCCAAGAAAGGAATACGTCGAAGCTATGGCACCCCATCTAAGCATTAGTTTACCTGGAATGACCCACGGGAGTACTGCCAAGTTTGCTAAGCAAGGTATATTGTTAAGGTCTCAAGAAAATACAGGTCACTTATGTGGAAACGATCAAAATGCTGAGGTAGATGACGGATAGACCGCGCAGAAGTCCCCATAGGGAAATTCCACTCAGCTACAAACTTCCTGTATCGATGTTTTATCGAGTAACATATTTAAGCGCTCTACCAAATGCATTACAGATGATGTAGTCAGGTATTTTCCTTTCAGGTACATAAGCAAAACACTGTCACATTAGGCATAACTTATTCTTTACAGTAGCTGAGTAGGAGGTGACACCTCAGAACAAGAAGCAACTGGGATGGTGAAATACCTTGCTCCTGAAGGCAGCTTGAAGGGAATAGCTGGCAAGAGTATTGCAGTAATGAACAATCCTTGTAGTTTCAATGGCGCAGTACTAGTCAAGTGTAGAGAGACTGAGGTATGTACTAGATAGTTTTTATTCGGCTGACATTTCGGTCAGTCGCCTTCGTCAGAGCCTGGAAGATTTTCTAGTTATCTATTGGCTACACCTAAACTGAGCTGAGGTCTGAACGTCGTTTGATCAGACTGAATCCCAATCATTTTTTGGCTTCCAAGCGCTGACAAAGGCACCGGCCGAAACGTTAGATGGATAAAAGTTATTATATGGTTTTGGCCGGGAAGATATGCCATAATTTCATTCTGGCTTCCAAGTACAGTTATGCATGGTGGGCCCAAGTTATCTACCGATAGCTCAATGAACCTTTCTGCAAAAATATGGCGAATCACTAGAGAAATCCACAGAAATCTTTTCGCACCATGGGCGTGAAATGTCGTCTTTGTTAGTTGCCCCAGCCACTGGCTAGTTGGCTGCTTACATATTGAGAGGCCTGGGATCAGAAAACGGAAGGGACTTTTTGTTTTCAGCTGTTCGTATACAAAAAGGTTCTCACAAAAAACTGCAAATGCACTGAAGATGAGTATAATTATTGAAGAAACTTGCCTATCCTTTCAAAGAAGTACTCCAGAAGTTCGTAATTCCAGCAAATGAACGCATTCAGATCAACAGGAAGGATCTGAAATGAGTGGCAGAGTTTGCTTGTAGTCCTATTATGATCTCTTGTAATGAAATTATTCACAATGCGTACCTTTCCGGCAACATCTCTTTTGTAAAAAAAGTGATTTTATGTCAAACCCCCAAGCGATCTATCGATTGGATCAGAACTACATTTACTCCTACCTCCTACGACATACCATCGTGTCGATTCTTACTCAGATCTTTTCTACTCCTTGACTTTCGAACAAGAGGTTCCCATAAAAAACGAGAAAGAAGCTGATGACTCGCTTACACTTGTTGTTTCTATGCTGTAGATGGTACGTTTGTCCCCGAACCATCTCGTGGAAAAGTCCCATCCGGACTCAGCTGCACTGGCAACGTTCTGAAAACTGTTGATTGACGAACCTATAAGTGGTATTTGTGCTGAAACAATTCGACAGCTGGCTAAAATAAATTTTAAAGGCACAATTTTTTTTTGCTCGGAGAAAACGGTACACTTCTAGGAACCATTCAAGAGAGGAATCATATAATCATATACTTTTCTACAATTTACGCAATTTGAAACTCTCCCATCTATGACAACAGCTACCCCCTCCCACCCTCCTCTTCATCTTTGGGTGAGGAAGGAGGTCGTTTTAATTCTCCTATCCTAGGATACTTTTAAATCATTCGCTAAGTCTCTTCCGTGGACGATTCAATGATTCCTCAACCTGCGCCTCTCCCCAGTAAGAACCTCAGTGTCTTCCTTTCCAGGATGAGATTTTTTGCAAGCATAGCATGCCTGCCCAATTGAAATCAATGAGGTTCCAGAAGCAGTGGAAAATCTGGAGGGGCTACAACCTTTACCGTAGCAAACCGATCAAAACTGTCGAAAAAACTCAAGTCACCTGCCAAAATCGTGTTTTGTCCGGGAGATTTTGTGCTTTTATGATGTCCACAAGGAAGGATTCAGGTCGTGGCATATTGCTATTCGTTTTGTATCGGAAAACCGAGTAGGTTTCGCCATCCACGGTAACATTGACCTGAAAATGAGTGAGTTCGTCCAAATGGAGGTGGAGGCTGTCAAAACATCAGCTCTACAGAATTATCAAGATAGCTGCCTGGTCATCTAGAAGAAAAGTTTTTTCTCGAGTTTCTCTAATGAGTTGTGGTCCAATACTCCCACCCGTGTTCACTTGCTTGGATTCATAAAGTTTCTATTCAGTTCTGATGGAGAACCTTTAATCTTCATCTGCTCATAGCTCATTAAGTGCAACAAAACCTGGGAACCCTACTTCGACTATACTTTGCACACAGACAAGGGCAAAACGACGAAATCTTCGGGTTTGATCCACCCCGTCTCAAGGATGCACCCCAACATCTGTTGCGCTTGTTGTTCGCGGATAGGACATCCCCCTTGAACTTATTATCACCGAAAAGTGCTCACCTTCCGATTGTTCTCCCAGAACTGCAGTTCTCTTTCAAGTGTGGACAGCATACTTCTCATAAAGTCTTTATCTTTTGTAGCTTCGTAGTACTCATAAAGCATTCCGGCCAACAAAGGTGGATGAGATCGTTGTAAATAGTAAACACGTCCACCATTTGGAATGAAGCCATACCTGAATATAGTCAATCACAGTACTGTAAATATAGTAGGACAAGTTGTAGTAACAGATGAAATATTCTCAGTCTGTAGAAACAAACGATGTCCTAAAATTCCTGAATTTTTGAGTGAAATAACAGATTACGGTTTTTCCTGTTGGTAAGCATGTAATCCGTGAATCAGGGAGGAGTGCTACTGTAAGATATGTATCTATTTTGATCAAGTTCCCTAGGAGTAACTTTGAGTTCTGAAGAGCACTTGTGGGAAGCCGGTCTCAAAATGCACTCGTCATCACTTACCTTTCCACCACTGATCCCAGATTTTCAATCATCGACCTTGTCGTGTCGTACATTTCGCACGCGACCAACCCCTAAAAACTACTGACTCCGTTATGCGTAGTTTGCGAAGCTTTCATATACTATAATCTTCAACGGAAATAGACGTTGACTGACGAGCTACACTCTTCGTGGTTACGGTATTTGCGTAACTGCTTCAAAAAAATCTGAATATCTCATTTCTGCTTATGGGAGTTTAGGGAAAGATCGGCTTACTACTGCACCTAAAGCAGACGATACAGATTGGTCTCCAGACGACTAACTCTTCCGCTGTGGTTCCCAATCGAATTTGCTCGTATCGAACTTGTTGCCAGCTAGCCCTAGTACTGTTGCCTCTCTATGCATTTTGCGCCTTGGGCCAGCATGGGAAAACAGCTTTCCTGTTGATATAAGGAAGCAAGCGTTATTCCGCAAATGCTCCTTTATGCGTGCTTCTCGCTTCTTCTTCACTTCCTCTCGCAGTTTGCCCCTTTCCTCTAGTGAGGCGTGTACCACTTTCAACTATGGTTTTATCCTCAATTTTTCTTAGACTAATCTTTTTTCTTCTTCGAGATGTTTTTAAAGGACCATCGCCTTTCAATTTCTGCTTTTGTGATGTATGGCACACCTCTGGGTGTATTAAATAAGTAAGTAAACAAATAAATATCCGATGTCGGTTGATGGTTCACGCCGAATGGAGTTGACATCCTCGGATGCTACGCTACGTATATCCCACTCGAGAAGTCAAAATAGCCCTAAAGCCAAATAGAAAGTACGTCAGGGCTGGAGAGCACTCAAGAAAATCAAGGGAGTACTGAAAAAACCAAAAACTCGATCCGACCTTGGGCTCTTCTCTTAACGTGGGGTTTCGAGCATCGTTAAAGGACGGAGATCGGGCACGCTGTTGCTCAAGCTTAGCAATCAGAGATCAGGCAAGCAGGACACGTCATGCGATCCTGTGATGACCGCTGGTCGAGGGCGATTGCTTACTGGATCTCTCGGGACATCAAACGAAGACCAAGACAGCTGTCAGCGTTATTGTTAGATTACTTCACGAGAGCACTAGTGATGTTTGCGTCCTTCGTTCGCGACACAAGAGAATCGAGACGTCACAGGTGTCTGCTCAAGAAAATCGATGAACAATGGGACAACAGTTGAGGGTGAGGAGAGCGGCTCGAGGAGTGGCAGAGACATGTACCTTAGGTACAAACTGGTAAACGTGCTGAAGCTTTTGTTCAGTTTTAACTTTGGGAGCAGTCTGAGGTGCTTCCAGTAGCACAGCCTCCAGCCCGCAGACCAAGATTTTCCGAGGGTGTTGTCAACGCGAGATACTCCACTTCGTTAGCACCGAGTAGTGACCAACCTGCCCACCAGTTCTTGACTTATTAGCCTCCATAGGTGACTAGCAAATCAAATGAAAGCCTGCTCAGTTTTATTTAGCCAGTTCTTCAGTACTTTAATCCCTACCAAATCAGGTCCTAATAGATATATTTATATTCATATTCTCACCTTGATAATCCAGTAAGCATCCCAATAGTAGAATTCTCTGAATCGTCCACCCGGCATAATGAAGTTGTTTGGCAGATAAATGATCGAGTGACGTGCATTGTCACGCTCGATGTCTGGATCGATCTAAAACCAATTAAGTCAGTGTATATATGATTTCATGTATACATACCGATATAATAATGGAAGGTATTTATAGAATAGGGCGGAGGTGGTGTAGTGGCAAGTGGCGCACTATATCACACGCCGGTCAGGGGTTCGAATCCCGGATCGATGCCCGCCTAGGCCAACCAGCCTTCCATCCCTCCGGGGTCGGTAAATTGGGAGGATAGAAGCACTGACTTGTACATCGGCTGGCCGCCTCAAGTCATTGTATGGGCCACATACGCACTCACTACGCCACTTCGATTCTGAATAGAAGTCGAATGCGGGGGCGCATCCCTCAGACGGAATTGACTAACGCCAAAAACTTTATCCTTTATTCATTTATTTATAGAATAAATGGGGTTTGGAGTGCTTTTAGGTTGAGGTACGTGATGTGTTAATGTCAAAAGATTTGAAAACTTCAACAAGTCAGACGCTCCGCGACCGCTCGCTCAATTACCGCGCATTACGGAGGCCAACGAAGATGCCGCTACTGGAGCACATGCGACGGATAAAAATGAACACTAAGTATGAAGCTCTAATGATGATGTTCCACACAGCCACCCTATCCAAACTTTTCGATCAACCTAATATTACTATCTAGAAGTTATGATCGTGTACTAAATTCTCGATTGTCGTTCCACATTTTTCGGTAAGGGCTAGGGATGCTCACGCTTTTGTTTCTCAGCAGAAGCTCCATCTAGAAGGTTTTTGGCTGGCAATTTGTTTCAGGGATCATACAACACGCCTTTTTTCACGTCGGAATAACCCCAAGTGATCCATCAATGAAAATAAAAAGGGTGAGTGACTAGTTCAAAGATTGCATGGGTATTTTTGCTCACACAACACTGAGATTTAGAAAGATCAGCTGTTTCCTGTCAACGATCTTTCGGTGCATTTGCTGTGCACGTGAACTGTCTCTGTCACGACTTTCAACTTCCCACCTGTTCCAGTGACGTTTTTTGCTTTCAAAGGTCAAAGGTGATATCTGATCGCTGCTCTTTGTCTGTTCCGTGTTTACGTGTACTTTTTACGAAGTCTTAGAAGATCCAAAGAGAAACGAACCTTTCGACATAGAGTTAGCCAAATAGCATTCAATTTCAGTGCCCATTCCCTCAGCTGGGGATCAGCTATAGTCATCAGTTTTGCTGGTTGCGGATGCCAATCCATTGGTGTGCACGACATCATTTCACTTCCAGCCGGACTAAAAGTGGTATGCTATTTTTCCACGCATAGAATTTGAAAAAAANAAAAAAAGTTCCAAAAACAGAGTATAACATTTCAGAACTACGTATAACATAGAGCACAGGATCTATCCTATTTCGGTAAAATTTAGATGGCGATTCGGCCTTTTCGATAATCTCCAGATCAACTTCTAAGAAGTATGAAGCCGTGACCTCGTGGTCCAGAGATTTCCCCAAGGATGAACCTGTGTTCCCCAATGCTAGCACGTGGAACATTTTTCGATCGGAAAACGACTTTGACGGGACGCTATAAGGACTTCAAAATGGGCTTGGCCTACGTAACGCTCAAAAATGGATGTGTTATTACGGCCTTGTCAAGCCTGAACCTCTCATAATGGAGCGTCGAGACGCAGACGAATAGTACGCTTATGTGGGAGGCACCCAGACGGTAAAAGACACATAATTTCGTACCCCCTATTTTCGCGGTTCCTTTGCTATTTTTACACTATTCCGCATCATACTTCCATTACTTCAACTATGCTAGATACCTACGAATCATGGTGAACTGCGCCTTTAAGGTTCGAAATTCAAATCATCCTCCACAACCTTTGATAGAAGATAAGTGCTAGGGTCATATATCCCCCGAACTGAGCGGAGTCCTCAGACTATTTTAAATATGGACCGCAAAAATCGAATAGAGTTCAAAGTCTATTTTTGTAAATCTGTAACGAGCATATTATGATATGGACATATTTTTCCTTTGCTATTTTTCCTTCTCGTTTTCAAACAATCAATATCACCTACTGACCTGAAATGTTCATTGATGAACACTTTCAGTTTTGTTCTGTTGATGTTTTCTATGGAAACATTGGAGAATTCATTGTTGAACTGCCTCAAAACGTAGTCTGAAATGGACCTGCTTTGTACTTCACGACAGGAATTAGCGGGTGAGTACTGCAAATAATCAAGGAACTAAAAGTTATAAAAAGGATCATTACAAATAAGCTCTAATTATTGTCACTTAGCGCAGAGTACTTCCGAATTTCAGATTTGCTTGCCCATCATTATAAGCTCAGCGAGATCCGAGGCAAAAGAATGCTTGAATGGCAGAGGTGTTGCAGTGCTACATACGTGGCGCAATGGCACACGAATAGTCAAGGGATCGAATCCAGGATCGAAACATGCCCATGTCAAGCAGGCTTCCCATCATCTGGGGTCGATTATTCGGTACTAGACCCATGTGGGAGAATAGAAGCACTAATCTGTATTTCGGCTGGCCACCGCCATTGTTGACGTACATACGCATTCACCACTATGATCTGAATGGAAGTCGAATGCAATGGCGCATCCCAGAGACGGGACAGATTAACGCCAATGCACATGATCCCCATACTATTTCGAATGGTGGAGGCCCTCAGTACAGATATTCCAAGGGAAGCAGAGAAGGAATCAGCAGTGGGATATGCTGGTAAAAGATGAATTAGGGAGGACATACTGATAAGGTTACTTAGAAAAAGGGGGAATACCTGGATCATATCTCATAGGCATATCGACGAAGGTCTTGGAGTCATTGAAGAGCTCATGATAATTGACGGCCATCAACAGAGTTCCATTACAGTAGATGTACCTGAAAATTCCCAAATTCTAATTCTTTTATAAGCGGCTGAACTCACTGAGTTCCCCATTAACTTGACTTACGAATTATTTGAATTTGTCGCATCACATACTGGTACAGGATCATGTACCCAATGTATTTGGTTGAGTAGGGAGGACAGAGAAGCAACGGATGAGCAGAAAATAAGCAGAAGCGACGTAACTCTGAGCATCCTGCTTCTGAAAATGAACATCGTTGTGCTCACGACGACGACATTTGTACGGAACATTTGTCTAGTATATTACACTTGTGATGACAGAAGGTGGCAGTTCACGAGCTAAGAAGTACTTTAGGCATGTGAATAGAGCAGAACTATTCATATGAAAAGCTTCAAATAAACCTCTGACAACCACTGAAGCAAGAGAGGCTGTTTGAGGTGAACGAGGAAGTAGAATCAGTGGGATGTATGGAGATCAGTTGTGCCAGTCGTGACAAATGACTGTAATGCGTAGGTGACGGCTGGCATCAGAACAGCGCATTTCACAACCAGCAGTTGGATGATAGAGCTGGGAACCGAGATTGACGATGATTTATTAAGGATAAACATATCGTCGAAGACTATTGGACTTTGTTCTAGCAACTTCCAACATGATTCCCTGTGAATTTTTACCTTCCCCATGTGCAAATTGCATACCCAGAGGAGAAAGCATCAATCAGAAGTTGGAGGATGCACTGCAAAATTCTCCCATGAGGAATCTTTGGTCTTTCAATAGCTATTTCTCCAGCTCACTGAGCAAACTTTTTCTGCAAAGATATGGATAGTCTCTGTGGCCTCTCTCTAACTCTTGGCAGTGTAGTAGCAAATAATTCCTCAAAAAAGAACACACTGAATTTTCAAAGAACTAATGTTGTGTCTAGTGGGGAGGGTCCACCCCCATAAGGACGTGTTGACGCGACAAAGTGCACCAACACGTACTTACGAAGAGCTGCGACCGAACACGATAAGACCTGGCGAAAGCGATGCAGTAAACGCAGAATAACAGGGAAAACAAGTCATATCAGTAGGTATGCTATGGAATGGGCAGGTAAGAACATGTCACACCATTCATGTCTACTCGTAAAACCTTCCTTTTCCACAGAAATAGTTTCGCCATATGAACACTGTGAGCCTTCTTTCCTTGTTTCCTAGCCACTTTGGCCGCCGGGTCGTCTAACCCATACCCAGGTCATTACACCCATATCTTCTTAACACTTTCTCTGGTTTTATTTGGAGCAATAACTCGATCGACATCTACTATACACACTCGGAAATTCCGTTTAACATTCCCTTCCTAGCTAGTACTAGGTTGCAGAAAAGAAAGTAATCAAGCCTCCCATACCTCCGGGATGGGTAAATTGATGTATCGACCACGTATACATTCAAAAGGCCGCTATTATTTCGAATGGAAGTCAAATGGGAGGAGAGGGAGCATCCCAAAACGGGACTGATTAGCGCCAGAGACTTTATACTTTGTGACTCATTCGCTGCCCCGACTTTACCCGTACTGCCCCAGTCCCAAGTAAGTGGCCGCCTCAGAAAAGAACGACTCAACGAGCTCTTTCGAAAATCATGAATGGATTCCGCAAAGAATTCTTTGCACTTTACAACACTGTCAACGAAGTCCATTCAAAACCAAAACAAGCGCCTGGCGCTGTCTGGGACACCCTAGCTATGGGACTGCGCCCCTCCCTCATGCGGTCATCACGTGAATTACACACTGCCGTCGAGGATTTGGGAGATCGGGCAGCGATGAACATTAAGCCAAAAATAGAAACAAGACCGGAATCAGTTCAGTCAGCATAACACCGGCCTTTTTCCCAGAAACCATGCACTTTACCCATGCAGGTTCGGGGATCCCAATCGATGCTCGGCCAAAGCAAGCCTCCATCCTTCCAGGGTCGGTCAATTGGTACCAGAGTCGTCTGGGGGGAGAGAGAAGCACTGACTTATACATCAACTAGCACAGCGAGTCTCTGTTAGGACACCTAGCCATTCAATGCCACGACAGCTCTGAGTGGGAGTCGGATGCGGGGCGCATCTCAAAAAACGGGATTAATCAACAATGGCGAGAGATTTAAAGACTCCAAAGAGATCTCGTGGAACTCGGCTAGCTAAGTTCAATACCATGTGCAAGTCGAATGAAACTTTGTTATAAACCGTATTGAAACAAATAAACAAAATATACAAATTCGCTTTTTTCGGTTGAAGAATAAAAGGATAAACTCCTCGGGCGTTAATCAATTCATCAGAAGGATGCATCCACGCACTCGACTTCCATTCAGGATCATAGTGGCGTATTGAATTCGTACGTGGCCCATACAATGAATTGCGGTTGTGAGCCAATGTACAAGTCAGTGTTGTTGCCCTCCGAACGAGGATGGTACCAATTGACCGACTCTGGAGAGATGGAAAGTTTGATCAGCCTAGGCGGATATCGCTTTGGGATTCGAACCCTGGATCATGTGTGTGTGAAGAGCGCTACTTATCACTACACCACCGCTGCCCTTTCTCTGTAAAAAAAAAACCTCAGGACCTCACTACTCCTAACATGACAGGACCCCCTTCACTAAGTCACTGTGAGAATACGTCCTGGTTACAATCCCATGTAACATGAAGGAGCATGTTTTTAAAAAGATGTTGAAACGGTAAAAATACTCAATACCGCTGTCCTGCAGTGAACAGAAAAGCGGGATTACGGGCATTATTCCCAACATTATACTGCTTGGGAAAGCTACGCTGAAAACCAGATGAGGGGGTTGAACACTCTGGACAGCTATACCTTGAAGGTTGGATGGTGAAGAACATTCACCTGTCCCAAACAGTTCCCCTGATTGACATAAAACCATTCAATTCCAGTCGAAATAAATCATCGTTTAATAGACCTAGTTACACAATTATTACGATGGACGCCTAAGTCGTTACCTTTGATATATGCTCATACATTATCTAAACTCCACTGGGATCCAATTTCATGAATATTTTGCCATACAAGGGCATGCACTGCGACAGGAATCCTTGGAGAAATTATTGCGTTATCTTGCTAAGTCAGAAAAACTAAACTTGAATCCCAAAACAAATGCAATAGGACCAATGAAGGGGCAAGCTGGAGAAGAGTAAAATAGTCAAAAGATAGAGAAACTGGCATATTCCTGGGACACAAAAAGAAAACACACTTGAACTATTACTTGAGTAGAAATTGGGGAGAATTTCCAGAAAGGAAAAGTTATGTTTGGTGGGGGCGGAGTTCATCCCTTGCTACATAATCCTTTCATGTTGACTGTAATTAGTGGTCTAACTGTTCATTTGGTTCTTCCATAACAGGTTTTTCGAAAATCTCCTTGTACTCGTCCCTACAGCTATGACTTTCCGATGACTATCTGCTAGATCCCTTGACAGATATGGTAACTTCATTTGTATCGAATTAATGAGTGTAGGTAGGACGAAGTGAGGAAGTGGGGATGACGTCATCATAAGAATGGTTCGCGGATCAGATGAGAAGCAAAGAGTATAGATGGAATAGGGAATAGGGCTAGGGTCAAGCCTAAAACAGAGCATAGCTAGTTTGCCTTAAGTTTATCATTGAGCAGGCTAAGCTATGTACCCTTCAGTTCAAAGTACGCCATTCCAAGAGCGTCTTTACATCATATATCACCTCCCTCTGAGAAGTCTGAGGTTTCTTAGGAGGGATTTCTTTACACAGACTCTGATCATTATGGAAACAGCTCCAAGCCACGGACTTAGGGAAAGAAAACAGAAGTACGCTGTCCCTATCAGCCAAAATAAGCTGGAATGAGCTAGCAAACATCAAGATGACAAAATAGTTGTTGTTGTACGGGAAGGTAAATATGATTATCAGTAAAGTTGTGGAAGTACGTAGAGAATTAGCGCTTCAGCGGCCAGAAAACTACGCTGATCTGTTTGGCAGAGGAACAAGCACATACCATACAGACAAACAATGCACCGAGCGTAGGTGATTGTACTTTGTATGAAAATTTTTTAGAGCCTGAAAATCTACTCTTATAGAAATCCCGGTAGGGTTGGGGAACGGATGAACAGAGAGTGTCGTTCCCACAAAAATTAGAGAAGCGTCCACAGACGTTTCAAGAAATGCAATGATTAGAGAATATATTTCAACGAAGGATATTGAAAGGGTTGTTTACTACCAACTAGTTTGCATAGTTTAATTATGCAAGGAAGCTAAGCCGCTCGTCGTTCCGGGTTGGGTGATTAGTAAGAGGTCTGTCTGGGAAGATAAAAACAACAACTTGAACAACGGGATTCTAGTAGATCATTTCGGTCCGATGGCCCATATGCATGGAACAGGTTTTGCACTTTCATATGGTATTTAAGCATATGGGTCATTTCAAAAACATTGAATACGTTGTGTTTATCTTAATTATAGTAAACAAGTCATTAGACGATAGAGAGGTGAAAAAAATCGCACACCGGTTGGCCTTTTTAGAGCATATATGCATTAACAAACTGACAGGTGGTTTTTATGCATTTTCCAATATCCTAGATACATTTAAAATCTATAACAGTTACTAAAAATGTAGTAATTCTGAATTTTCAATGAAAACTGCACTGTCAAAAACTTTGGGTGTTTCCGCTTATCACTCATCGATAACATCTACAAATGAGATGAGATGAAAGGGAATGTGATACTTTAGGAAGAGAAAAATGAAGGGGAATGTGATACTTTTGGAATGCGCCATGTACTGAATTTCCACTTGAAACCGCTTGGGCTCGACTCACTTTGATACGTATGATCGGAGTGAGTCGAACCATCCATCAAAGCCTTATCTTCCTAGATAGTACAGTAAATACAGAACCCGATCTGGTCAGGAAATGCAGGGCAGACCAAGAACTACTCCCAATTCGACGGAAAAAAAACCTAAATCTGTATCTGGGTATCGGGCTCATTCAATAGGAGCAAAATTTTAGCAAAATTTGAACAAAATTATA